TTCCAGCCATTTTCAGCTTTCGAAATGTATTAGAGAAATGATCTCCATCCCAAATTAGGTATTGTCACAAATTTTCAGCAAATTTGGTCCAATAATTTTCGAGATAGATTTTCGATGTCGGCAACTTTAACGGCCCATTAAACCCCAAAAATCAACTTTTTAAACTTTCAAAACTATATGGCCCCACTAATTCGATCGTACTCTATCCGATGGCGTCAAAAAAACAGGGTCGAAAAAAAAACTGTGCCAAGCCATAATGGGGACAGGTCGGGTGGCTGGCGGACGGCCTTTTAAGCCGCTAATTGTAAGGTCTAGTTTACCGGCGCCCCCCCGCGAGTGTTGGCTCGCCAGGCATCCACTGAATGCGTCATGTACCGACCACTTACTTTGATTCGACATATTCAAAAGAACGATTCTTGAAGCAATCTTTTCACTGTTGCGACACAACTATAGCCTTGTGGGGGGAAAGAGCGACGGAGCGCCCCTCTGGACGCTTACGACGCGGAAAGGGGGGGCTGTCGACCCAATGCGCTATTCATTGTTTGGGCTTTCTTTCTTTTTCTTTCTCTATTTCTTTGAAAACTTTTACTGATTGGATCTAAGGCAGGAAAATGTCACGACGGTCGCTTTTTGGCGGCATCTTTTTCGCGTCTTACTATTGGCTAGTTTCTTTATTGAATTTTCTTGAAACCAATTTTTACGCTGGGACTTTGGCGCGTTGGGTGTAGGACAGGCTAGCAGGAATCTCTCGCAGAGTATTGTCAGCTATAGTTTGCGTCAAAAAACCAACTACCTTTTTATTCGTCTTAATTTTTGGAACTACAGTGTCGCCTTCGTTTCACCCATGCTCTTTTTCAGCTGCGCAAGGAGGCGGCCGCACGTGTGGCGGAGCAGGCACGGATTGCGGCGGAGAAAAAGAAGAAGGAGGAGGAGGGCGGTTGCTCGATCATGTAGAATGGAACCTCTCTACGGATTATACCTTTGCATGTGTCACTTAACGCTTGTAATTGCTGCTGCCCGCTACTATCCGAGACTGTTAACGTTGCCTATCATAAGCCCCAATAAAGGATTTTTTTGCTTTCAGGATTTTGTGCTCAAGAAAATTTCGACAATTTTTTTTGGAACAGCCTAATTTTTTCAACCCCTCTAGTGATCTTGAAAATAAAGTTCCAACCCCCCATTCCAACCCCCAAAGACCCCCGCTGGGCAAAATTCTGGCTGTTTTAAGTTAATGGTTTTAAGTTTTAAGATCATTTCAGGCTTTTTCAACTTTTTTTTCAACAACCCAGAAAACCCCCCATAACCCCCCCTCCCCGTAATCGGACGGGGTCCGAAAAGTTCATAAGGGGGACCCTTATGATTTTTTTCGCAAAAATTTTTCTGCCTGCGGCGCTGTTTATTAGTGTTTCGAGACGATTTTTACTTCTAGAAAACCTATTTCTCTAAAATTTTTTCCCTGCGGCGCTCGTTTTCAGTAGTGCATCATTTTTGCCGAACAAAATGTAGCTTGCGCGCGCCATTTCCGTTGTGTTTTCACACGAATTTAAGCGTTACGAACGCGGTTTTCTAAATTTTTTCGCCTGCGGCGCTGTTATTGGCGTTATTTTCGAATGTTCTGAAAGTGGCGACGGGGGTAAATGGGGGGGTCGGAAGGTTTATTCAGAACGATGAAGTTGCGCACCGGACGGGGATCGAACCCGCGATGGTTCGCTCCACAGTCCCACGCGCTAGCCACTATACCACAGGGCCAAGGGGGACAGGGAGTCAGAGGCGCCCCAAACCCCAGCGGGCCTTTGCCCGATACGGGGCACCACTAATGACGCCTCTCTCCGCGCGTTCTTGGGGGGCGCACCATCGGGGTGACAGTGTGCGTTCCAGAGTTCTAGCGTTCTTTAATAAATGTTACACTTTTCATCAAAAGCTCTTATTTCTATGCTATAGGAAAATGAACAAATTGCCCCGGTTTCAAAAATAGTTTTTGAAATGCTTTTGTACTTAAAATCAGAGGTACGTAAAACACATAGTAGTAAATTACTGGGCAATCCACGCCGGTATTGAAACGCTGGTATAATCTGTATAACCATTTCTTCCAGGATGCTTTTTATTACATAAAATAGAACGATCAAAACTCAGTGAAGCTCTTCGTCAGACATCACCTGGTGAGTCGATTGGGGCGGGTCGGCTTGCATAGAGTCATTGAATATCGAGTAGCAGCGATCTTTCGCGTAAGCGTACAATGCACCCTAAACACGCTTAGGGGCACAACATAACAGTTCCATCTGAAAACGCTTCATTGTTTTAGCGGACGGTTGCCGGAATGATCAATTCCGGCCAGCTCGCCGAAAGCCGTCTAACGGCGCTAGTGGGCTTCTAGTGGGATGGGGAAGTGTCCGTATTATCGATTTAGGTATCTGTCGAAAGCTCCCGGTTAGGCGCGAAAACAGGCGTTCTTGTTTTCGGAAATTAATGCATTTTAGTCTACGAATTTTAGGGTCGAAAACCAAGAAAAATTACGACCTGGGATCGAACCGGGTTTGATGCGACTTCTGCAGCTTAAAGGGATACCCAACCTTTTCGGGGCTCAAAAAGGAAAAACCATGACGCGGGCTGGGGTGGAACCCGGGACCCCCGCTTTCAAGACCTGGATGTTATCCATTAGGCCATAGTGGCAAGCCATTGGTCGAGATGGGGACGCCACAAGGGGGAGAGGAGGCCGAATTCTGTGCGGCACTGGGCATCCATTACCGCACAAAATTCGCGCGTCATTTGTACTCCCCGGAATACATAACTATATATTTGCCGCCAAAACATTGGGTATCCCTTTAAGTGCTGATTTCACCTTTTTTAGGAAAATCTTCTATGTCGCTTGAGAGATAAAACTTTGGGAAAGTCAAAAGCGCTTTTTTTGTCGCCATTTGGAAATCTGGGAATGGCATTAAACTCATTCTGATCCGTGCTTCCTCCGGACCTCTAGAAGCGAGAGCTTTTTGGGAAAACCGCTATATTCTCGAGCTTATTTTCCCAAGCAGAACACGACCATATTTCCCGCCCACGAAACCGAATAATGAGTTCAAAAACTCACAAGCGACGCAGGTAGGTTGTAGGAGCTAAATCACTATTAAAATCACTTGAATTCAATCGTTCGCCACCTGGTGTCATCGACGACCGGGTCGTCGCGGGGGAACCGTCGCTCCAGCTCCATTATTTTCCCTTCAAGCTCACGCATCAGCGCCGTTATATCGTGGTCTTGATATCGTAGCGCACGGCAATATTCGTAGCAATTATCCAAGCATTTACCCTTCAGCCGATTGGCCATTTGCCTATTAGCGACCCGTTCATCCTAAAAACGAGCGATTAGCAACTTTTAAACAACTCGCAGAAACTGTTCAGTTGGGGTTCGGTTTGAGACCAAGACTATCATGCGCAGAATTTTTTCTGATTCCAAATCCGATTTCCAAATTTACCGAATGGCCGTGTTTAAAAAGGATATAAACTAATTTATGTTTCACAAATTTCAGGCAGTGACTTTGGAGTTCGAGACCTCGGTAAGCACTTATTTTAAACCAGCGCCCAAAACCCGCTTCGCGGGCCTTGGGCGCTGGAATGCGGTTTTTGCATGAGAAATTTGACTTTCCGGTAGCTCGGGTCTTTCGGACCTCCCCCGACACGCGCGCGTGCAACTGTGAAGAATGAGGAAATTTGTATTTTTTCGCATTATGCAAATTAGCCCTCAGGTACCCCCAAAAATGAATAAAACCGGCTTTAACTTTGTAAACTTATATTTTATCGTAATTCTGAGAACGCCATTGGAAAGAGGAGGGTCGATTACCCCTAGTGACGGAAAATTAGAGCCTTTTATACACGGGAAGGCCCTCAAATCGATGCTCGAAAGTGACATCCGCACACACACACACACACACAAAGATACGCGACCAAATTATATAAGGTAGGATCTTCATAATCTTACCGTATAGCACTTCTCGAGGATCGCTAGTTCCTCCCGCATCAAATCTTTGCCAGCTTTGAGCGGGTCAACGGCCTCGTTGTTCCTTGAATGAGCAGGATCTAACGCTACGCCTTGTTCTGGAAAGTATCGTTCCGATATTCTAGTCGGTTCGCGTGGTCTAATCGGCTGTTGATTGATGGTGGACCCATAATTGGGCATAGGCGCATGTACCAGTTGCGGGATTGGAGGCTGGGGCCGGAAGGGCGCCGGAGAAGCCCTGGGCAGACTTGTCCCGGATTCTTGCCTATGTGCCGGTGGCAAGATCGGAAGTGGAGGTGGCTGACGATTCGCCACTATGACGTCTGGGCCGTTTTCGGTTGTTGTCAGAACTGAATCGTCATCGCTCTCATCAGGAAGTACCCTCATCGGCTCAATTCGGAGCTAAAAACTGAAGTTTTGTCCAATTTATGACCCGTGGACAGGCCCGTACGAGGGGGGCACCGGGGCACGGTGCCCCCCGAAATCGGTCGAGGTCCGAAAAGTACATAAGGGGGGACCCTTATGTTTTTCTCGCAAAAATTTTCCTGCCTGCGGCCCTGTTTGTCACTGTTTCGAAACGATTTTTACTTCTAGAAAACCTATTTTTCTAAAATTTTTTGCCTGCGGCGCTCGTTTTCATTAGTGCACCATTTTTGCTGAACAAAATTTCGCTTGCGCGCGCCGTTTCCGATGTGTTTTCACACGAATTTAAGCGTTAGAAACGCGGTTTTTTTTTAATTTTTTTGCCTGCGGCGCTGTTATTGTCGCTATTTTCAAATGTTTTGGTTACGCCCGTGGATGAAGTTCGAACTATTATCAACGTGAAACCCACAAAACTTCACAACATTACGTCCATATCTGGCTTTTCGGTACTTTTTTGGTCTAGCTCGGCGCTAGATTTTTTTGCCTTTCCTTTTTTACTAATTTTTTTTGATCACACACACCAATCCTTAGCGTCATTTTCAAAAAAAGATTTTAAGAAAAATCTTTCAAGAAATGAACGAAATTCGTCTCAAACTAGTCTTGATACCTTGGTGTTTGCCTCGTATTCTGCCTGCAGCTTCTGCAGCTCGGCATTACTGTTGTGACCAGCTACAAATCGCTGGATTAGCCCCTGTGCGGCTTGCTGAAAAATTCTTCGGACTCTCCTGATTGTGAGTCAAACCTCCAGCTGGCGTCCAGCGTTTTCGCCAATCTTCACGATATCGCCCGATTGGAATCCCAGCTTTTCCAGGGCGCTATGCAGGCTCGCTGTGGCCTGGCGTCGAGCAGTCTCGGCAGCTAGCTGTATTTCCAGGCCTTCCGCTATTTTCTGCGGAAAATGGAATCCATTTTGATCTGATACCTTCTCCATCTCCACCCGCATCTCACGATCCGCATTGGCTAGCAGGAAGTTGAGTTGCAAATTCCGTATTTGCTCGTAGCGCGTGAACGTGAAATTCTGAAGAAAAGAAGGTGTTTGCTTAAAGACCCTTGGAAAGTTGGCCGGGCGTCCCCAGGGGTGAGGGACCGACGGGGCGAAACCATGCACGCTTTCCACCGCGTAAGGGGCCGCAAAACCCCCACAGGGTTTCCAGAAAACGGATTTATAGCCATAACTTTTTTGTTTGACTATATTTTTGGCTGGAAACTTCCATAAAAATAGTTTTTAGCCATCCCGATCGATGATCAAAAATTGAGGCTGATTGGATAGAAGGCCGCCATGTTCTGAGCGGAAAGAGGTTTTTGGGGCGCTTTTTAGTTCAAAAAATGGTCTGAAAGGGTATACAACACTTCAGGAAATTCAGGGAGTACTTTCCTTGCCCTTAGCAAGCTTTTCCGTAGGATTTTTCGTTATTACTATTTGTAAATAGCTTTATTTTGAATTGTTGCCCAGTGACGTGCCCGGTTCGGCCCTCGGGTACTTGTGGCCCCTCCGCCGCCCTCACCAACTCGACCCCTTTGGTGTGGGGGTAGCGCGTTGGACTGCGGAGCGGACCATCCCTGGTTCGACCCCCGGCCGGCGCACACCCTCTTGCTTTTTGACCGATCCCATCTTTCCAGAGGCCTTTAAAAGTAAAAAGTTCCGTACATGAATCTTTGCGGCCAACTCCTGCTTTTGCGCAGCGGAGATGGCGAGGTCGCACGGGATTCGGGTCGCGTAGTTTTGACGCGTCATTTCGAGCAAGGTATACACATCCTTAATCTACACACTCGATCAGTCTTTTTTTAGTAAAAGTTGATACTTTTGTGATGTTCGCCATCTCGTCCGCTAGGAATTGCGTGGAAAGTTGTTGACCAATTCGGTCGGCCTCTCCGGCTTGTAACTCGTAAGCTTTGCTCTTTGCCACTTCCTAAAAACTGGTGGCTGTTGTTTTGCCCGCAGGGATTTCTGTTAGTCTTAAACTCCTCTACCTGCGCCTTTTCCTTGAATAAACGGGCCGCTTCTTCAAAATCGGAAGGCTTGACGAGCTTCTGAATCCTCTCAAGCCCTTCTTTTTCCGCAGTCTTTACATCAGCTTGGAACGTTTCGTAGGTAGCGTTCTGCAGAGAGATGGGCTTATTTTCAAAATGTCGAAATTCATAATGTCGAAATTCATAATGTCGAAATTCATAATTTCGAAATTTCACAATGTCAAAATTCATAATGTCGAAATTCATAATGCCGAAACTCATAATGTCGAAATTTCATAATGCCGAAATGGCAGAATGTCGAAATCCAGAATGTCGAAATTTACATAAGTTAAAATTCCCGGTAAAGTCCCGGAACTCTAGGCAAAAAAAATGTTGTCGTGAAATAAGATAAAAAAATAGAATGTGGAAAGATTTTTTGGCTAGGAGTAAATTTCGGCATTCTGAATTTCGACATTATGACATTTCGACATTACGAAATTTCGAAATTTTGAATTTCGGCATTCTGAGTTTCGACATTATGAATGTCGACATTATGAACTTTCGACATTATGAAATTTCGACATTATGAAAGTTCGACATTATGAAATTTCGACTATGAATTTCGACATTATGAAATTTCGACATTATGAAATTTCGACTATGAATTTCGACATTATGAGTTTCGACATTATGATACCAATTCAGAGAGATGCTATATTTTGTTGAGCGGATACCTTAAGCTGCTGAAAGAACGCTTCTAGCGATTTGTTCACCGCCACCAGGATGCTGGACTCCCGCATTAACTGGAAATTTAAATTTTCTATTCAAAATCCGGCTACACCTGCACCGTTGACGCGCCAAGTTGTGGAGCTTTATTGATGAGGAAATCAGCAATTTTCTAGAATAGCAAAAAAAATATATTTTACAGTATGCGCACCATTCCCAGCTTCGGGAAATCCTTCTTTGTGAAGGTATTCTGGGACCAGCCTTCGATGCAATTTTGGACTTTGCCCAATTTTTCGATGAATGACATATCTAAATGTCGATTAGGAAATATCATTTTAAGGAATTTACAAGGCTTGTTCGCAAAAAAAACACCCGATAATGCACGCTTTGAATGGCCGTGAAAACCTGAGAACAAATATAAAGGAAAAACCAGTTAGCGCGTTTTTTAAAAATTTTCTAAAATTGGTTCCGTTCCAAATGGAGGATTGTCACGTTTAGAACAACCTTTTGAGCAAGATCTGGAAAAATTGAGGTGTGAGCGCTATTTACTAATTGGTTTTCCCTGGATAGTTTCTTCCTAACATTTTTCTAGCCCTTCAAAGTGGGCCATTTTGGCCTTGTTTCAAGGTAAAGAGCACTCTAACTTCTTCAAAATGAAAATTCAGCAGTTTCTAAAAACGGCCTCGCTTCAGAGTAAAATTCTGCCCACTACAAGCTTGGTTTCGAATGAAAATTCAATTGCCACTGACAAGGAGACGTTTTTGAGTGTCGTCGGGACTTTGGCATGGGGCCGAGCCTATTTTGTGCAGAATTTTACGCTGATTCCGAATATGGTAACCGTTTTTGCGGAATAGCCATTTCTCGAAAGTTATGAACGCTAGAAACCTCAAAACAGCCCAAAATAGGCTACTTTCGATAGTCATAAAAGGCTTCGGAATGGGTTTTAGGCAAAACCAGATAGTGCATCTTATTCAGAAAAGGATTCTCTATAAAATGTACGCACTTACCCAAAATTATTGAAAAGTTGGAAAAATTTGATAAATAGCATATTTAGCATATTTTGTAGAGAATTGTTTTCTGAACAAGATGCACTATCTGGTTTTGCCTAAAACCTATTCCGAAGTCTTTTAGGACTATCGAAAGTAGTCGATTTTGGGCTGTTTTGTGGTTTAAATCGTTCATAACTTTCGAGAAATGGCTATTCCGCAAAAACGGTTACCATATTCGGAATCAGCGTAAAATTCTGTACAAGATAGGCTTGGTCCGATGCTAAAGTCCCGACGACACTCAAAAATGTTTCCTTGTAAGCATCTCCTTGTCGGAGACCGTTTAGAGCCGAGCTCCCCGGATTTAAACCCACCCTCCGGACGCAACTCCAGGCGGCCACTCGCCATACGCAAATGCTGGTTTGCCATCGGGGCGCAGACACAGTACATCTCATTGCCAAATTTCTCCCGCAAACGACCAGATATTTGTTTTAGGTCGCTGGCCAGCTCGCATTGTGACTAGATGGCGAATAAGAACCGGAAAATGGCGTCAACAAACCCATAGGTCGATCAAAAATTTGGAGTCCCGATCCGTGTATGGGGAGTCGCGGATGAGGAAGAGAAGTTTCTGAAGTCAGAAGCGATATAGCAATCCATCTCTCATTCTCTCTCTCTCTCTCTCTCTCTCTCTCTCTCTCTCTCTCTCTCTCTCTCTCTCTCTCTCTCTTTCTCCCTCTCTCTTTCTCCCTCTCTCTCTCTCGCTCCCTCTCTCTCTCTCTCTCTCTCTCTCTCTCTCTCTCTCTCTCTCTCTCTCTCTCTCTCTCTCTCTCTCTCTCTCTCTCTCTCTTTCTCTCTCTCTCTCTCTCTCTCTCTCTCTCTCCCTCTCTCTCTCTCTCTCTCTCTCTCTCTCTCTCTCTCTCTCTCTCTCTCTCTCTCTCTCTCTCTCTCTCATTCTCTCTCTCTTTCTCCCTCTCTCTCTGACTCTCTCTCTCTCTTTCTCTTCCTCTCTCTCTCGACATATTGAAGCAAAGTTCCCACTTTTGGAAAAACCGCCCCCGGAAACGCGTTCGCGATCTCGACAAACATGTGTAAATCTTGCAACTTATCGGCTTCAACGTTTCCACGAAGGTTTAGGACCTAAACTCAATTATTACTGTTTTGAGCATAAACTTTGAAAACCTGAACATCTGCCAGTAGAAGACTAAAAACGCCGATCCACGCCGATACGTTTCGCTCCGTCTCCATATCAAAGGTGCCCTGGGTGTCGAGGTAGAAGATGAGGTGCTAAAAAGCACAGCAAAATTGGTAGAAAAAAAATGCCATCTGAAAACGGAAACCTAAAAAAAACATAGGTAGGCTCCAGATGCCCCCCCCCCCCCCCAGCCGGCCCCCAACATTTGTATCTCGACTCCCTGTTTATCTACAGGTGTGTAAAGTAAACCAAAATGTTCGCCTTGCTCTGGCGAGCATTTTGTTATACTTTACATACCTGTAGATGAACAGGGCGCCGAGATACAAACGTTGGGGGTCGGCTGAGGGGTCATCTGAAGGTTAGCCAAAACGTACTCCATCCTTTTCCACCGGCCGTCGTCGGATCAGAATCCCCTGCGTGCAGCGAGTGTACCCCGTTTTAAAGTTGCCGCTGTAAAACGTTGACGTTTTCGTTGTAAAACGTTTTAGTTATGCGTTCAGTGAACAAACCTAATAACACGATCTTGCGCCCTGGTCAAATATGACAGCAAGAAACTCTTGCCGCTTCGCGACGGGCCCATGATGCTGACGACAGTTTTCTGAAACGGAAAATAATGGACCTATTTTTTACTTTTTTAATGCGATACGATGTAGCATTAAAACACAAACCATTTAACTACAGCTCCAAATCTGTAATCTGAGCCAGTTCAAGAAAAACAATGATAATATTTGGAAACGTATGGATAAGCCAGTTTTCGACAGCTTTATGATTTTTTTCGTTATTTTTTCGACGCGATTAGATAGGAATCAAAAAAGATGCACATTTTACTTTTTAACAGCTAAATTTAGCCTTAAAGCGCACGTTCAGGGAGGGGCCGTGTACTCGTCGCAACGTGTACACCCTATGGACGTAGGGACCGCGCGCAGGGCCTGCCCGTGCTGTGACAGGCCATTCCGCTCCTTTGCGGGGTGGGGCGCCCCTCGCCCCCTCGCCAGGTTGTAGCTGTCGAACCCGCGCCTCCCGTGCGGGGGGCCCGGGTTCGACCCCCGGCCGCGGCAAAAATATTTGCTTTTTTCCAAAAAAGCGTCCCTGAACGTGCCCTTTAACAAGATCTGTATTACCTGCCGATTTGCATATTGCGGGGCTAACAAACTGGTTTGCAAGGCGGCAGCGTGGAATTTCACCGCGTTGTCCTCGAACGACACCAACAAATCCCAATCATCCTAAAGCAAAATGACATTTCTAGAAAAATATATTACCTCCATCGATTCGAAACGGTGAATTAAGGTGATAAATCTGAAATGGGTGCTTATTAAATGAGAAACGTCAAAATTTTCAACGGCATTCGAAAACTAATTCAGTGTCTGCTAGCATAAATCTAACGATCTTGATATTGTCTAATTGAAATAAATGCAGATTTTAGCGTCATTTAACTGTGATAAAACATCCAATTATATACCAGAAAATTATAACACTTCACGAAAATACAAAACAAATCGAAAAAGCGGAAGCCTGTCGGGAGGTGTAGCTAATGGGACCTCGTGCTTTATCGCGAGCGCCTTCGCCCATTTTCTTGCGCAAAAGTTTGGTGGCCACTTCATAGCGGATCGATCCGGGACGGGAGAAACGCTTTGCAACACGAATTTCAATCAATTTTTTAGGCAAGCGGAGATAAACGGTGACGATTGTGAAACGACTGGGGGAGACTCAGCCTCAAAGGCCCAAAGGCCATGGATTTGCCTTCACATACCCTTTGTCATTTTGCGGAATGGCTATCTCTGATGTTTATAATACAAACAACTAGGGGATATCGCTTACCATAAGCGCTCCCGCCCCCCGGCCCCCTCGAGCGAAAGGGGCGTTTTCGGGTGCGGTTTTAAAAGTGAAAAAATCTAGGATAGCCATTCGGAAAAAAATGGACAGCGGAACACTAGAATTCTCTATCGAATGAGCTATGCCTGAAACCGTTTTGCGGTTAACTCAACAAGGACACTCCTTGTCAGTCGCTTCGGATGGGCTCGAGCTCTTCCCGGGGTACGCAATAGGGACACCCGAGGCTCGCGTAGCTGCAGGCGCCCCCGATCTCGAAAGAGTGGAGCGGCAGCCCATCCGAAGCGACGGCTCATCTGGCATGAAAATACTTGAAACTCTTACTAATATTCTCATTACACTTTTTCTCGGAAAAACCGAGCATAGTGGGACGGATCGCAAATGTCGGGGAGCTGTGGAGAACGGGTGCCCCTGATAATGGGGCATCTCTCTTGACGCTTGCCATGTGCTTTGTGAATTTTCTTGCGAGGAATTCTGGCGACAGAAATTCGATCGATCGGACGCGTACGCAGCTTACTTTTCCCCGGACTTTTTAGGTTCTTGCATGTTCATAAACCTTTTGTGAAAAACTAAGTCTTTGATTATAGCAGTTTGTTTTGCTGATTTTCGATGCTTGGCGCTTTTAAGCAACTTGCACCAATCTGCCGATGTTTATAAGTCCTGGCGAAACATTGAGCTTTCGGTATCTGACTGTTAGCGGGGGGTTTAGCAGGATAACCACCTTTTGTTTTTGCCCCTATACTGGTGATATTGATTGATGATATATTATGTATTTTTATAGTGTTTTTAGTAGTTTTGATTGCGAGGAAGTTATAAAAAACATATTTTTTTAATTTCGAAAATTCAACAATCTTTTGACCTGGGCATTTTTCGTACATTTTGACTTACCCAAATTTTCGAATATCCTACCTTATATAATTTTGGTCGTGTATCTTTGTGTGTGTGTGTGTTGGAGTCACTTTCGAGGCCCGATTTAAGGGCCTCCATAAATGCGTGATTTTTCACTGGGGTGCCCTCTTTTGGAGGGCTATTTTGCATAATTTCGATAAAATACAAGTTTACAAAGTTAAAGCCGGTTTTATACATTTTGGGGAATAATTTGCATAATATGAAGATTTGCATGTATCTGATTATCTCAATAAATGTGAATTCCTCATTCTTGCAATTTGCGCGCGCGTGTGTGGTCGGTAGGGGGGAAGGGGTCCGAAGGACCCGAGCTATCGGAAAGTCAAATTTCTCATGCAAAGGCCGCATTCCAGCGCCCAAGGCCCGCGAAGCGGGTTTTGGGCGCTGGTGTTA